GTGTGGTTCAGTAGGACAGATTCACCGTGGTACACACTTCCCCATCACTTGTAACTCCTAACTTCTAGGTCTTTTGCTTCGTAATTTAATTTCTTGTAGCTGCACACGCTCTAGCACTGTCTATCAAAATGAGCGCGTGTGTGCGGCACTGACACTTAATGGTTAAAATGCTTGTTTTACATAACTAGAGCATAACCTTGGGAATTAATCTCTTTGCTTATTAAGGCAAGAAAGTAATTGGATTTTCCTTCTGGTAACCTTTCTTGGCTTTCCCACATTTTCTGTCCCAATCATGAAAGCATGAGGCTGTCTGGGCAAGCACTGGTCTCTTGCATGTTCTTCACAAGAATAATTAGTGATGTTTCATCATTACCCTTTGCAGTTTTATAATACATTCGTTTTTTCAAGCAAATTTTAAAAAATAATGTTTGAAGAAAAATGTTCTTCCGTATTTCACAGCTCATTATATTATGGTTCTTGCTGCCCCCATTTAAAGCCTTATCTACTAGAATTTAAGTAAAGAGTTCTTCATTAAAAGTGGAAATAAACCTGAGAGCTTCCATTGTGCCACAGGAGTGTGCATTAGAGAGGGTCTTTGACTGGGTATCCAGTCTCCACTGTGCTTGAAATACAGAATAAATAAACTTGGGGAATAAGTTCCTTGTTCATTTTTATTTCTGATCATAATTAATTTTTAAAAGACTCACTATGTAACTTCTGTTCCCTTTACTTGATCTACACAATTATACATTTGTTCTTGGTCCTACATTTGATCCAAGGCTTGTGGGCTCTTCAGTTTAATTTGTAATTTATCCATTAATTAAGAAGGAGAAAATGTTGTGTGATGGATGGAGCTGGGGACCAGGAATCAAAGCTTCTGAGTTCTCCCTGGCTCTGTTCCTGACCTGAGGAAAGTCACTCACACCTTCTGGCTCGTATTGTCTCCGGGATTCTCAATATAATTATGTTTAAATGCCCCCAGGCAATGACATGAAAGCTGATAATGACAGGATAGAAAGCGGTTCCTTTCACAAGCTCCACGGAGATGTTCAGCTCCAGGTTTCAGGTCAAGTCCCCTTTAGGTTCTAAGACTATGTGGCTCCTGTAATTATGGAAGAACATGGGGGTGTCCATTGTGTACTCTTTTAGTGAAGAAACCGTTCAGCCATTCTTTTGGAATGATTTAGCATCAGTGATGATGAAGAGGACAGAAAGGACTGGCTTGGTTTCTGCAGTGCCAGTGCGTGAGTGCCCCTGGGGCAGGAAGGAGAATCCCGTGCACTATGGATGCCAAAGCATTTGCTGTGTTTCACTGAGGAGAGGGAATATCAGTGCCCACCCTGCTGAAACCTTGCAGCTTAACTGTCCTTGCATTTCTTTTTTTACCTGGATCTCTTAAAAAAAAGGGGGGAGGGGGAGCATAGGAAAAAAACTGTGTAAGACCAAAGAAAGCAGAGGAATAAATAACCACTAGGAAATTCCCAGCACATCCCTTTTCTGAAGGTTTCAGGAAATTCCATTTGTTAGAGGAAACACTGGAAATTAGGAGCTGCCCAGAAGAGGGACTAGCAGGAGACAGCTGAGATAATTTTTCACTGCCAGGACTGCACTGTGTTGTCTCTCCTTTTACAACTCATCGGCAGACATTATTACCTGGTGAAAAAATCTGTTTTGCAACTCCTCCCGAGTCCTCATAAATCATTAATGCCTGGCTAAGCACAGTGTGAGCATTACCAAGCCTCTGAGAATGAAGGCCCGTTCTGATATAACCTTGTGTCCAATACTAATGCCTGCTAGTTATTTAGTAATACAAAGGAGCCACAGTGAGGAAGATCGATGAATCAATGCAGTCTCCTGACTTCCTCCTCCTCTCTGCCTGCCTCTTTCTAGTTCAGAAACTGAGCTACAAAAAATACAGGGCTGTTCATCGTCATCTCTCTGTGGAGAGCACTGTAACAAGTTATGGGGACAAGGAAGGAATTATAGCCTCCAAATGAAAAAGAGGAGCTTCTATTTATGATTAGGGCTTGTTCTGATGTCTGGTTTTTTTATGAGCCAAATTGCACCACTGCTCCAGACCTGTGTTTTTTGGTTTGCATCCCTTAATGAATGCGTGTGGTATAAAGCACACTGAAGTGTGCAGAAAGCATAGATAGAAACTGTGCCTAGGAACTGCAGGACTATGTAATTAAAGGGTGCTCAGTAAAGTCCAAGTAATCAGCTCATTACCCAAGGGAGCTGTCAGGGGATTTAGATGCTCAAACCAGCTCTCACAGTACTGAAGACAGCACAGAGGGTACAACATCCATAGGTGCCGTGGCTGAACTTTGTGTCTTGTTATTTGGCAGTCTTGGCCACAATCATGAGTTGAAAGATGGTCTCTACTGTCCTGCTTACTCTGAGCTCACCTCCAAAAAGCCCCAGCCTCCTCTCCTCTCCTCTCCTCTCCTCTCCTCTCCTCTCCTCTCCTCTTGCTATTTGTATAGTTGTGCTCTTTGAACAGTAAGAATAATTGATCATAAGCTTTAAAAGGAGGAAATGGAATGAGGTGAGATGGAGATTGGCCCTTTGTGAAAGTGTAATCTTAAACTTTTGTCGTTTGGTTGGAACCCTTGTCTTGAAAGGCTTCTGCAAGGAAGGACTGCTACAGATACTAGAGAAAAGGATCTTGAAAGGAACTTAGGTAAATGCAGATGGGGATGGTGGACAGCAGTTAGGTAGATTTGAAAAGGGGAATGACAGAAAGAAAAAGTGAAATTAAGTAGCAGATAAGAGAGCATCAGAAAGTTTAGAGGGAAAAATAACTGCCTTTAAGGCATGAAATGATAGAAAATTATCAGAAGGAAAATGTAGTAGCTGTAAGCGAAAGTGAGAAAATGGACCAAGACAGACAAAAACATTCATATGTGAAAAGGGACAGAAAAATCATCTCCAAAAATATGCAACTAAGAAAGCATCTGGTGCTGTTCCTGTGAAACCAGAGACCTTAGTCACTTCGACCCTGAGTCGGGGAGGACACCCCTTGTGCCCAGAGCATCCTTGGTCTTTACCTGAGGCCTGGAGCATTCATGGTCATCAGACTTTAGGCACCACACCTCCAGCAAAAGCCTTAAACTTTCCTGCAGAAATGTGAACATTGGGTTCCCATTTTAAGTTTTGCTCAAAATGTATCATTGTGCTTTAGCTCAGATGAATTTGTTAAGAATAGTCCCTGCCATAGCAGCCCCTGGACAGAGTGGTTTATTTTCCCCTATTATAGATCTGACACAAACCTGCTTATTTCTGTGCCCTCTCTAATGATCTGCTTGCTCTCTGGAGAGCAGTGACCCATTTCAGCACAGGATAATTAGCCTTTCAGACACCACTGTGTTTCCATTAAATAGACATAAATGTGCAAGGTGACATTTATTTACTTAGGCCTGAAAAATGTACACCGCAGATGTTGGGGCTTGGGAGAACTTCCGTTTCTTTTCATGCAACAGTTGTATATTTGCATGTTTTCATGTTGGTTCACCGCTAGTGCCTCACTGAAACAATTCCTGTTGAGTTTCACTGGGGAAGCAGCAGAACACAGAGATTATTTGGGTCTGCATTTCACCGTGAGGCCCTCGGGCAGTGCTCTGACAGCCCGGTGCCCGAGCCCCACAGTGGCATTAAACACAGTTCTGGCTGCACACTCTGCAGACCCCTTTTACTTCATGTAAGGAGGGACTCCATGTAAAGAACTGTTGTTGATTTACAGATATGTCTGAAGAGGAAAGCATTCAGGGTGTTCCACTCAGAAAATGAGAACCTTGACCTATTGCAAACATAAAATAAAACCAAAATCCTTTAGTATTTAAAATCAGCTCTTTTATCATCTTGATCACTGGCTTTGGAACCACCAGACTATTACCCAGGTGAAAGTGTATTATTCATCTTGATAGCCACTTTGGTCTGCCAAGTTGGAGGGAAGTCTTACTCCTAAAAGTCCAGCCAGCATATAAAACATGTAGGTTGCATAGTGGTTCACATCCACACATGAAGACATGGCATGCTGTTATTTCATTCTGTTAGCACCAATAGGCTTTATAAAAGGAGGCATCGAACAAGGTAGGTGCTTTATTGCAGGATGGAAACACTTTCATAGGTTATTTTAATCATTATGATTCTTTCATGATGTGTGAAAGTTGATTGTTGCTGTAAATGAAGCCATTGAAGGCTAAAAAATAAAAATGCTGTGATGATAAAAATCCTTGGAGTGCAAAAAATGGGAATTGCTATAAAAGGCAGTCATTTATTCTCTGCGTGAGATTATTTTTTTATCATAAGGATGCTTTTAAGCTAATTCTGAAACATATACAACTGTGGTCTATATAGCTGAGGTATATTGCAAGATGCACTGATAATATGGCTAATTTTTAATGCACTGTAATTTATATATTATTTAGAAGTACTGTTTTATTCTGTTAACTGAGAGGCTTAACACATTTTTACTATGTTAAGGATAAGTTATTTTTTCAGGTCTTGTGGTTTTATTATTTTGACCCATACCCAGTTCATATTGCACCATAATACCATATTTTTACTAATATTATTCTAGTATGTTCAAAACTTATTTGCATTTGGATAGAAATTCATTAGCTCTTTGATTTTTATTATAACAATTATTTTAACTTTTCTGTGACAATGTGTTCTGTGTTTCTGATTTGCTGATGCTGAAAGATTTTGTTTTCATTTTTAACCCTTCCAAATTTAGGATTGTTTTTGCTTTTTTTCTGTATATATATATATATTTCAGTTGTTTAGACCTACTGGTTCCTGCTTTTTCTTTTTCTTTTTTTAATATGTTATGTTTGTAACTTCTGTCTGTGTTGAGCCAATCTTACCAACAAAAGTATCAGTTGTTTCCTGTTTCTCTACTTCTTTACAAAAAAAAAAAAAAAAAGAAAAGTAAAAAGTAAAAATAAAAAACTCTTAAAGGGAACCCTGGCACTGTCTGTCTTCTCTGTTCTGCAGAAATGTTGAAGGAGTTGAACCAGCAACGCAGAGCGAAAGAGTTTACAGACCTGAAAATTATTGTTGAAGGCAAAGAGTTTGAAGTCCACCAAAATGTTCTAGCTTCCTGCAGCTTGTATTTCAAGGACCTGATTAAAAGGTTTGCCTTCCTTCCAGCTGTGATCTGCTCTGTTCTTTTGTAGGGCGCATTTGTGTCGCTTTTTTTTCCTCCCCTCTCTTGCAGGTTTATGAAGATTGAATCTCCTGTCACAGAGCCAGTAGCCATTCTTTCCACCTCCTCTGAATGTATTTCCAAACTGAGACTCAGACCCATTTGTTACACATCTGACTCGTACAGTGTAATTATTTCTGATGAGTAGAGGCCGGTTTTGGCTGAAGGAATTGTTCCACCACTGAGAGATCTAAGATTTAAACTCAACTGCTAATGGTGATTCAGACCACAACTAAAAGCTATTGCTGTCGATGTTTTCAAGGGACTCTGTCACACAGGACAGAAGTCTGTCCTTCAGGCTGCAATAAACCATCAGCGTTCTGGTGAACAATGCTGAGACTTTGTGCTAATAAAGCATTCCGAGTATCATAATCCCTTCACCCTGAAATCTTCATTGCATGCTGTTGTGTGGCTTTTACGGGCAAAGGGATTGATATTTTTATTATTTGGGGACTTCTAAAAGCAGAAAAGACAAGTGATTGATTTCTTTATAAAAGATTGGAAGTTAGATGATTTTCTGGTCAAAATATAGCTCAGTCTGCATGTTGGACTAAGGGTCGTTTTTTCCTACAGACACTGTAGCTTAGGGTAGGCACAATACGTACATTTTTCTAAACATCATGTCTCCACCTTTGCATTTTCCCCCCTCTGTTTCTAGCTGATTGATTCTAAACAGTGCATGATAATCTTTTTTTTCCATTACATTGATTTTTCAATTTGTATGCTTCATATACTTGCATAGGAATAAATTGGTACTCTCATATTATTAGTAAGTTAGAGTAGCAAGTAGGGGAAAAAAAACATGAGGATAACTTTCATTTTTCTCTCAATCATCAGCAAATTAATGCAGCTGCTGATTTTGCCTTGCAGTATTTTCCTGAGCAGACTGAGCCTGGACTGTGCTAAAAAATGGGATTAAAGAACATTTTGCTTGCTTCAAATCCTGTATTTAAATTTTGCCAACTAACACACTAGTGACTGTATTTTATTTCAGGATGGCATATTGGCTGGTATCTCCTTTCAGTGTGTTATGTCCTTTTGCACAAAGCTGGTTTTATAATTATGGATATATATTACAATTCTATGATATAACTGTGCTGACTGCCTTATCAATTATTCATAAAAAATATGTTGGCCTAGGAAGCATGTCTTTTCCCCTCTGTAAATCTAATGATTGCTAACTGTAGCTATGCCAGATCTATCCTGTACTTTCTTTCTGTCTGCTCATTATCTTTTAATTGTGTAGGCTACAGTATGTGCTTTTTAGGGTGATAAGGAGTAGAGTCTGAAGGGAAAGAAAAATCTTAGAATCAACTCACAGAAATCAAATAACTGACGGGCCAAAGACTGTAATTTGGATTTTACTGTGCAGACATCTGCTTGTATGCAGAAGTCATCAGGCAGCATCTATTTCTAGAAGCACATGGAGGAATCTTGCTGCTTTATTATTTAGTTATCAAATGGAGATATACTTGAGATTGAACGCTGCTCTGATATGAACTCATTTAAAACAAACAAAAAACCCCAAGCCTTTTAAAACGCTCTGAAAACAGACTATGAAAGCAGAACCCTAGTTTTCAGCATTTGTTGTCTTTCAGCTGCTCACATAAGGCTTACAGGCATTGCAAGAAAAAAATAGTGCAAGGTTTAGCCCATTTGCCAGCCTCACCACTTTTTGCCTTCTTTCACATCATCATCAGCAATAAATATTCCAGAGGTCGATTTGTGTCCACAGTCAGATCTCTCCATCCCTGTTGTCTTCCATATATAACCTCAGTCGCACACATGTAACCTTGATGAAGGCTAATGGAGCTGCACAGGTGTATCCAAGGCAAAAATACCTTGATTACTGATGATGATGCTTGAATAAGGAAAAATCCAGCTTGATGTCTAGTTGAGTTTGCAAAACTGTCAGGTGAGAAAAATAAATATTCACCTGTAAACTGAGCAAATGTGTCTTTGCGAGATAGTAAACGGAGAGCTGTGGGGTGGAATTTCTAAACACTTGCTTTTTATTGGATACTTGCAGTGTAAAACCTAGTGCTTTTAGAAACCCCACAAAGTCAATGAAAGTCAAGGACTCAAGTTGTGAGAGGCACTCAGTATTTTGTAGGATCATGCCCTTAATAATACAGAATCATTATAGTTCAAAGAGTCAGTACATTCATAAATACAATAATACATCTAGAATCCTCTCCTGATATTTGTTAGTAGCTCCTTTGAGATAGCACTTAAAGCTTTATGTGATTTATATTGCACTCTTTGTGTTATTATAGAAATCAAAACAAGAAATAGTGGTTTTTCTTAAAGAACAAGAGAGATCTCTTTATATTAAATATAATGTAAAGGTCATTTCAATCAGCACATGTTAAGGTTAAACTGTAATGCCATTCCAACCCACGACATCGACGGGTCACCAGAAACATCAATGGCAAGATGATCTATTTATGAAGGTGCTATGACATCCATATAAACATGCAGAAAAAGAATATCTTTTAGAGTATTTACTTCAGCTGATCTTTGCCATGGGCTAGTTGTTGTTAACCTCATGTTCTGCCATTGATTCCACTGTGTGTTTGAGCTGGTATCTGATAATAAAGTAGCAAGTAGTGTCTCAAAAGAATAAAAGGCCAATGTTCAAAAACAAATAAGATCAATTATTCCCTCTTAAAAAAAAAATTACAGACAAAAAAAAATAATAAAACTGGAGTTATTGCCCATCTTGAGGAAGTCTATTTGATGAGAATTAGTCATAGCAGGGAAAAGAATGTACTTTTTATTGGACTGTAGTCAAATGATGATAGCCAGGTTTGATTGACCGAAACAATTCTAACGTTATTTATGCAACAAAGTAATGAAAGCACACTTTGAAACTCCTGTAGTTTCTCAGAAAATTGTTAATCCTGCAATGAGCTGAGCATTCTGGTCCTCCTCCAGAAAAGTTCTTTTTCCATGTGATTTCTCTTTCAAATCTATGAGCATGGCCCTTTTGAGGTTGGGTTTGTCCTGTCCTGAGCCTGGGCTCAGGACCATACCGAGCACCATGCTCTTAGAAGCAGGTTAGCCAGTCCTGGTCAGGAGCTGTGCAGCACTCAAGCCTCAGCCAGGACTGTGTGTTCATCTCCCTCCCAACAGCAGCTGACCATCAAAAACAATCTTAGTTCTTTCAGTGCAAAATAATCTGAAAAGGATTAGGTGTATTAGGAACAGCAGGTGTGAGATGTTCCTGAGGTCTGTTCCACTTCACTGTGCTCACTACTAAGGGAGGAAAGCAAGGAGCAGAGGAGGGACCGGGATGTGTGAAGGTGGGTGCATGCTCAAGGCTGGTCCCACACTAGGACATTTGCAATAACCTCAGGGGCTGTAGGACTATCACTAACACCCTCAGGAACAGTTTTATACGATATTAAAAATACTTGGGGAGTACTAGGTTTCCTTCAGATCTCTTCATAAAATCCTCTTTAAGGTATTTTCTTTTTCAGGTGAATTTTTGAGCCTACTTCATGACAGGCATGGGGTTGAATACTTGGCCTTATTCCTTGCTTCTTCAGGTAGAGAGCATATAGAGGAGTTGATACACTTTATCTGTGCTTAGTGAAATCATGTGGTTAGTTAAGTTCTTCAAACTGTGACCCATACAAGATTACTGTAGTGTAGGACTTGAGGAGAAAATGGATGATGAATAGCAGCCCGAGTAGATTTCTTCCTCCTAAGTGCCATCTTACATTTGAGTGCACCACCAACCACAGCTGCTCCCAGTCTGTCTGACTTTGGCCTTAATTTGCACCTATATTTTGGGTACTTATGAAATCAGCCTTCCCAAAGCAGTGGCCTGATTTATGGTACAGGAAATGAAGAGAAGCACCTTGAAGGTTTCCAGAAGGAACTTTCTCTCCTAATTCAGGTGTCTGCATGTAGAAATCCCTCTGGAGCAATGAGGGCTGCTTGTCTCTCACTGTTAGTCAACCAACATTTAGACCCAAAGTTGTTACCTAAGGCAGGTTTAGTCTAAACCCACCTTGTGGACTACTGTAGTTTGCAGAGAGGGAGAGAGACCACTCCAGGAGGCAAGCCCTCTCATCATAGGGTATTTGTTGAAAATATGAGGTGAAGGAGGAGGGCATTCCTCTTTGCTATTAAAGAGAGAGATGAGGTGATTTGCTTAGACTGTAAACTTATGATGGCTGTTACATTGCTTCCTTCAAGCAGCCTAAGATGGTTGTCTAGGCTTCTTCTGCAGTCATGAGAGAAGACAGGAATGTCTGTAGGGCAATCCATCCCACCTAATGATAAATAGCATGAATTGCCTTCTGGAAGTGCTCATTTTTCATTGCCCAGAGAGAAAGGCCAGTCACCCAGCCTAAATCATAGCTGGCTAAAAGTACATGAATGATTCCTTCTGGAAACCAGTGTTTGTCTGAACGTCACATCCATGTGCTTATATATGTACATAGCAAGAAAGAAATAGATCAGGATTTATCAAAAAAAAAAAAAACATGTCCAAAATGCCCCTCTCAGAGAGCACAGATCTCCTTCTTGGGGGAGGAGAGAAGTGAACTCTGTCTTTATATCTGTCTTAGAAGAAATGGTGGAAGATGTGTGTGTTCTGGAAGGAAGAATGGAATGGAAAATCCCATGAAGAGGCATCATTTTTTCCAGCTGTATTTGGGATAGACAAATACAGCTGCTGGATCAATGGACTGTCTGGTATTTCCATAACAAAGAGGGTTTCACCGGAACATTTTAATTTGCTGCTTTCTTCTTAACCCGGCCCAAAGTGCTGGAACCTCTACCAAACATGACATTAGTAATGGGAAGCACTTGATGTAAAAGTCTCTTCTTGGCCCAAGTGCTGGCTTTTATGAGCAGACTTTAGTTCTGTTTCTCTTTGGTCAGTTGCTAAAGATAGACGCTCCCTGTCCTACAAG